TTGGGATATAGAGCATTGATTTATTTAATTGAAATATGTCGTTGGTTGCACAGTCATTTGCTGCTTTTATTTTAATTTTTTTTCCCCTTACTTCGCTTTTAGCCCTACGAGTAGATTAAATTGTTGCTGTGTGTATATGCTATGCAGCTAATGAAAATTGAATGTCGAGCGAGCGATGGAAAGTGAGCGTTTCGCTTCAATGTTAGCTTTCTGTTTAATACAGCACAAAAACATCTACATGCAGGCGTACTGGGGATGGAGAGCGTGTCGAGGGTCTAACGACTTCTTTTATGATATATGAGTAATCTTGTCTTTTTTTTTGTATTTGGAAGAATTGATGGTTTATGAAAATTTAAATGCACTTCATTGTATGTAAATTGTAAATTGTACAAGAGATCGAATTGTCTATTATGGTAGTCAATGGATTAAGGCTCGCTTCAACCAACCTTCAATCAACCCGTCAGTATTGAAAACTGAAAGCTCTCTGTCAAAGCGCTGTTATCATTTAGGTGATTCATAAGATGTTTTAATCAGCGAAACGTAATTATTTGTATATCCACGTTTATCATTATTATAAAGAGAATAATTAATGACTAAACTTCCCAAAAATGGCGAAGATATGTGTATATCCATCTGTCCTTTTGTAGATCAGCTGTATGAATTGATCAAACTTGCCTTGCTTAGGATGCAGCTAAGAAATTTGTTGAAAATATTTGAAATCGGGCAATAGCCACGCCCACCTCCCATAAACCAGTAATTTACAGAAACAGGAAAACTATGATAAATCAGTAACTATTGAAGCTAATTGACTCAAAATCGATTATTGCAATGACCACTAGCAGAATATTAGATTATTATAGATTTTTGGATTTTGGGCATGGCTCCGCCCACTTCTGACCACAAATATGTATCTCGGTAACCTATTTATCAATTTTTACCAAACTTGGTGTATTTAATAACCTCGGTGCGAAAAAGCAATTCATTGAAAATTATTCAAATCGAACTAAAATGCAACGGGTTCCTGTATAACGGTAATTTTCGGATATACGAAAACTCCGATATTTCCATAACTGAGGTCGTTAATTTACTCCAAGTTAAAACTTACAACTATCTCTTAACAATAAATAACACCGTTATAGACTTTTAGGTAGTTTAAAGAAAGTTGGAACGACGATAGTTGATGCCTGCGCCGGGTATATAAAACTCGATTTCGCCCGAACTTATACCTCTTGTTTTAGATTTAAGACGTCGCTGCAGAAAATCTGACTAGCGTAGAAATAGACCTTTTGCCGACAGTACTAGTTCTAGCTCAATACCCAAGCAATGCTTTCAACTGTCCAGTTTTACACGACGATATCATTGGCGGTGGCAATTGCAAATAGTTTTTAACCGGTTCCGTTTTGGGCAGTTTTTTTTTTATAAGAAAACGTTTCTAAGATTCGATTTTTGGATATTTTTCCGTTTTTTCTTTTCTTTTACAGATGCAGGAAATAAAGACTTCCCCTTTTTTGTAAAAAAATGCCTCAAAGGCCATCAAGTTTAACATGTATTTTATATGAAAAAAAAAAATTTTCGTCGAAATGATATAGAATTCTTTAAAACCAAGAGATTGATACCATTTCTACGAAAATTTTATTTTTCCGCTTTTTTCGCTTTTAGCGCCATATAAATATTTTTTGATTTCAAAATAAAAAATTGGGGTATATTTTTTCGATATAGAACGATCCTAGAGGATGAGAGCATTAAAATTCCGACTTAGCTTTTGAACCAGCCTAATGTACATACATATGTATGTATAAGTATTTGCTAATTCACTTTACTTTGTGCACGAAAATTTCTAGCGTTGAGGTTTTTCTATGACAATTTCTTGTCAATATTCTTTGAAAAATTTCTGAGAATTTCGTATTTGTCAATTTCATTGTTGCTTATACACGCTTAAGCACTTTTTAAGATTTAGGAATTCAAGCAAAATTTTGCTTATTTTCTTATTATTTGGGGTTAACGTACATTTGATTTTGACATTTATTTTTGGGAACTTAGGTTTAGAAAATTGTTTCAGACACATGTTTGACAACTGTTTACCACATATTAGAGAATTTTTTTTTGGAAAATTATTTGGATTATCTATTTTTCGTTAATTTTTTCGTACTCACCTATTGAATGGATAGCCGAACGCCGCATCGTAGGGATGATACACAGATGGGTATGGCCAAGGCGCACCACCACCTACTAAATTCTCTTTTAGATCCATGCCAGCCTGCAATGATAAAGAACGAAAAGAAATTATAGTTTTACCATGAAATGTCAAAAGCAGAAAAAAATTGTAATCAAAGAAAAGTAACGCTTACAAAATTTTAATAGATTTGGAATGCGCTATAAATAGAAAATCAATAAAATTATCACTAGAAGCTTTTACATTATTACTCGTATGTACATACATATTAAAAGAAAAGGCCACGAACTTACAAAACTAAAGCTGCCCTTATTGCCGAAAATTTTTTGCAAATCACACGAAAACGAGCGCAAATAAATAATAAACGTCGACGTTGGTCGTAGAGATAAGAAATTTGTATGCATTGAAATTGGCGGCGCCCACATTTCATTCACAAAAAAATTTATTTAACACAGCTTGTTGCTTTACTGTTGTTTTTGCTATATTTTTATGTTTTTTTTTTTGTTAAAAAATTTTTATTGCTCATAAAATTTCGTTGATTAAAGATTTTTACAAATAGGTATTTCTTACCAGCCTTGATCCCCAACCAATAACCGCTAAGGTACCAGCATCAGCATGTTTAACAAATTACCGCAGTCTTCTACTGATTAATTCTTCACATACATACATACATACATACATACATTAACCCGGTATGTATGTAGCGAAGTTCTATTGTAGGAAATTTAATAAAGTACAAATTTTATATACCACGCGTCGCATTGTCCGCACAGCTAAGCGATAAGTGCCTCAGCGGCCGATGGATGGGAGGGCAGTGGGGGGCCAGTGGTGTTGCATTGCTGCATGCGTCATTCGCTTGACCCCCATAAATAAGACAAGAATAAATTGGCGCGACTGTCAAAAGCGTTCGACTATGTCTTTTTTTTGTTTTCTTTTTGATGTGTTTGTTTTTTGTTTTTTTTTTTGTTCAGCTGTATTCTCATATAAATATTCATTTTTAATTGCACAATGTTGTGTTTTAGTGCATGTACATATGTATGTATTGTATTGCTGTACATATTTATTTGAATTCTATTAAATGGTGGAGGGAGCGGCGCGTGCACTTTGCAAGTGATAATTGAAATAAAATAATGAGCAAATGAGTAAATTCTAACAAGGCAATTAACAACACTTGTTCGCATTTTGCTTTATTTGCTAGCCCGCAATTTTATATAAGTTAATGCATGTTAATGCATGTAATTCATTGAAGTCAGTGGTCGAGTGAGAGAGTGATTCCTACTTACTTATATGACTTGTTAGGACAAGCATTTGCATTTAGGCTTTGAAAGCGCCCGCATTTGCTTAATGTACTCGGTACTAATGTACAATGTAAATTTAATTGTACAGTTCGATCGTTTATTGCATTATCGTGACATTTGTCATATATATACATATATATATGTATGTGTGTGATTAAGCATTTGCTGATTACAAATTCACTAACTAACAAATTAATTAATGTGCGCCCCACAAATGGCGCACTTTTCTTTGAATGCGTTTAATATTTTTTTTTTGTTTTTTTTTTTTTGACTGTCGACGAAGTGACTTTTGTCATTCACGCATTCTCGCTGCTGATAAGAATGGACAATCAAATACTTTGCGCCTGACATTTGACGCATAGAGTGTAAAAAAAAACAAATGTGAAAATATTAAAACTGCTGTTAAAGTTATTATGGGGCATCTAAATCTACAGATTTCATTGACGTAGTCGTTGTTGGAGGCATAGAGTGCAAAGATCTTATTTTTGGAATACTAAAAACGTAAAAGACAGATAAACCTTAATTGTTTTTTTTTTGCTTAAACTAGCTAGCTAGCTTTCTAGTTAAATCGAAACTATGCTTCACGAAATTGCACGAGTTCTGTGGTAGACTTCTGCTTGTGTAAAACTTTTTATCGCATTAAGCAGTTTTTCCACCCCAAAACGGAGGAAATCTCCAAATGACTCATTCTGTTTTAAGCCTATAAGTCTGCCCGGGATAGAATGGTCAACCAGGACCGAGAACTAAAATGAACAATCCGTTGTATGGGAGCTATAAGTTGTAGTGGACCGGTATTGATGGTTCCAAAAAATTATTAATACATTATAAAAATACACTCGCTTACCAAATTTCAGTCGGATATCTCGAAAACTGAGGGACTAAATTGCCTTCAAACAAACAAACATACAGATGGACTTGGCTAAATCGACTCAGCTCGACGTCCTGTTAATTTTTGCAAACATTTATGTGGCTCTATATATTCTTCTTCTGGTACTTACAAACATTTGGTCCAATTTCATGTTGATGTAAGTTATAAAAAATGATAGACAAATCATACGTTCACGACCGGTACTTAAGCTTATACATAAAAAACTAATAGAGATATATCCAACGCGCATTGTGATGCGGAGAAGATAGGTGCGATGTCATCGTTTGAACATCCACGGTTCGACAGCCAAAGGGAAAGCATAAAGAGAGCATCGCAATCATAATAAAAGGTGAAAGCGAATATATAGAGTAGATACAGGTCTGTAGCACATTAGCCTCAATCTTCAAGCTGCTTAGAAGTAATGCTTGACAGCGCAGTGCCGGAGGATGGGAGTCTATCGATAAATAGGGTTTGTTACTTGAGAATATCGTACTAATATAAGTTTTGAAATTTTTGAAATTTCCAAAAAACCTTAGACTTAGATTAGCAACGCTATTACTAGATACTCAAGAATTCAAGCGCCTATCATGGCAAGCATCGATTCTCCGCGCGAATTCTCTCGCAACAACCAGCTGTGCACGCGCGTTATGATGCGTGTGTGAAAGCGTGTAATCGCTACCAGGCAAACTGCTACAAAAACAACAACTACAACAAACAATATTAACAACACGTTGAACACATTTATTGCGTGATTTGATTTTAATGCGTTGATATAAATTTCGCCCGTCTACATATGTGTATGTTTGTAGTTGTTGTTGCCGGCGATGTGTTGCTACTGCTGCTGTTGCCACTACAACAACACAAACAAAGACAAACAACCACTCACCGTGGCCTAAAGTGCGCTGCTTAGTAGCAACATAAATTGTGCACAACAATAACACATGCAGCTAAAATAACACAACAGCTACTGGCTACTGTTGTTGCACGTCCTTCAAGCGACACGCAGCGTTGCAACAACTACCAATAACAACAAACAACAAACAATGCTGCTGCTGTCGTCGATGAACGAACGCACAGCGTACGACGAATCCAGTTTGTTGTGTTCTACCTTTTGAGAGACCTGGGAACTGGGAGCTGGCAGCTGGGAGCTGGGAGCTGGTAGCAACAAAAACAGCACTTGAGTCACAATAGCAACAACAACCGCCAGCGCAGCGAGTCACTAAATACTCGAGGAGTCTGTGATAAACATTAACAAGTTTCGACATGTTGCCGCTGCTGCTGCTGCTGCTGCTGCTGCTGCCCGCAGCTTAAACTTGCCCTCTGTGCCGTGTTGTATGCTGCTGACAACAATAATAACAACAACAACAACAACAGTAGCACTGATACGCTATGCAGTAATAACTACACCACTAGCCTGGCGAAAAACATCGACAACAATGATCAGCAGCTAACAAATGTGGCATGTTGTTAGTTGTTGTGGTGAGTGTGTGTGTGTTTTGTGCGTTTGTTGTTGTTGTGGTTGTTGTTGCATGTAAAAATATTGAGTTACTTTGAAAGCGGACAACAAGAGTGCACACAATAACAACAATAAGACAGCAATTGATGGCTACTACGCCACAACAAAAAAAAGAAAACGGCATTTGACAACAAACTCATAGCTGTGTATGTATGTGTGTATGTATGCATCGTATATACCCTGCAAACCATTTTTACAGAGTATTCTGAATCGTAAAGAATTTTTAAAGAATTCGGAAAGATCCCATCCGATTTTTTGCCGAATTTTCTAAAATGAAATAAATTACGCACACTTCGATTCTTTTACGAAATTTCGGAAGAAAATCGGTAAAGAAATGAAAATAATGCTGCTATGTGAAGAATTTCTTACAGACTTTTTTCAGAATTTTCTTTATTTTTCGTACAGAAATTTCTTTACAAGTTCGTGTCAACCACTTCATATAATTTTCTTTGAAGATTCGGAAAAAAATCGTTACAGAAATCAGATACTCCTAAAGATTTCGTTAAGATTTCGGGAACTTTGGTTTGCAGGGTACATACATATTTTTAAGCATGTCCGCACTGCATATAAGTAAAGTTGCTACCAGCATGTTGCACCACCGATTGCCGCTGCCAGATATTCGCGCGCGCGCTCAAAATTTATTTGCTGCAAATGTGATAAATTCCGCATATAAATACTGTTGTTGCCGCTGCTGCTGCCGCGATTGTGTGTAGCCGTTGACTTCGGCGGGTATAGTATGCAGGTCTGTTTGTTTGCTGTTGCAC